CTCCTTAATGAATCTTCCTACATTGGCTTCAAAAGAAAAAAAAAAAGTTTAAACCATGTAGAAAAAAATTATGCACAAAGGTTCTTTTATCTATGATCCTATCCAAATAAGAGCTTAATGGACTGGTTTCTATGTATTGTCAACTAGGTATTCTACCAAGGTGGGTTGGTTCAACACATGGTCCAACTGAAAATAAACCTGAGTCTGGAGCTCTTCTAATTCTAAACCTCTTACTCATAATAGTATTCTAAAACTTTTTTTTTTTTTTGATTTTGGAATTGGCCTCATTCTAAAATCCAACTATCTTACTTGGATTGCTAAGACTCCTGACCATTCTTCTACTCTTTAACAATTAAAGCAATAACATTAAGATTCACTTTGGCAAATCTATTCCTATAAGCTGAATATAATGTGCACAAGTGCCATTTCTCTTATTTTATTTTTCTTCTTGTCTTTCTATTTTAAAGTTTGGGACCATGGACCTTTGTTGTTTTCTTGTAATAAAACCATTTAACCTAACTGGATGAGCTGAGCTTGGTTTGTGACCAAACAGAAACTTGGCAAACAAATTGTGGAGCTCTGGGCTCAGTTTAAGAATGGTAATGGGGCAGGGTGGGGTCGGGTTTTACATATCTCGTCCTCGACCCCAAAGACAAATACCCCACTTCATACCTGCCTTGTACCATCTCCGTCCCTGTGGGGAATGGGGATCCCTAAATTTACGCTGCCCCACCCCAACCATTTCTGATTAGCATGGTTTCCTTCGTATGTTAGGTTGGATATTTTTTTTTTGAACTTGCCCCTCTCCAATTTGATTTTTTGGTAAATTCTTATAAAAGTTCTAATATCTTTATATTTTAAAGAGTATGCCATTGAATTAACGAGTTGATTTATCAATCATCAAGTATCTTTTGATATGTCTTTCTCAAAAACTAATTTGTATATATTATATATATACTAGCAGGCCACTGTGTGATGCACAAGATGGGGCACTCCTCCCTATCCCTTGCTACCATAGTTAAAACACTCCACCCTATCCCTGCCCTGTCCTAGGGGTGGGGTGGGTTCGAGGTGAGGCACCTATTCCTTGTCGGGGATGGGGAATCCCAAATTTCCACACCCCGAGGACCTAAAAATTATATAATTTGTGGACATTTTACAAATAGGATTATGGGAATTTGGGGGTATTTTATAAATGGAATTGTGAGATGCTAGGATTATAAGAATATAAGGAAAACTTAGAGATATTTTATAAATCAATATTAAATCTACTGATATTTTACTAATTTACCATCAGGTTTGAAGAATTATATGCAAACCCCGTCCCTTCCTTATCCTTGATTTGGAGAAAACTTTCCCTGTTTGGGGTGGGGCAGGGTAGGGCCCTAGTTTTACAGGAAAAATTGCCATTCCTACAATTCTAATAGTTTTTTATAACTAATTAACTAGCATTAAATTAAATAACAATAAATTACAATATTTTGTGATAATTTCCAATAATTGTTGTTGATTAGCAAAAATTTATAGTAAATTAATTATTTACAATAACAATAAATTTATGTGAATTAATGTAAATTATTTATTTTGAAGCCTAAATTATTTACTATTAATCAATGTGATGTAATTATAGTAAATTAATGTAATTATGGTAAATGACATTAATTTTAATTTAAAGTAAATAATTTGTTATTAATTAATGTAAAACTAAATATGGTTGAAACCAAGTGGTCTAGACTGGTGTGGAGAGATTTAATAATTTTACTAAATTATTTCATAATTATTTATTAAAATAATAATAATGGACTATTATTTAAATAAATATGAAACAATTTTTGAAAGATTAATTTCCTAATTTAATTTTCCTAAAATTTTTAATAATTATTTAGTCGAATAATAATAATGGACTATTATTTAAATAGTTTTAGAGATTTTTTTGTAGATTAATTTTCTAATTTTTTAATTATTATTTATTTAAAAARTTATGGATTATTAGTTAAACAATTTCCTAAATTATTTGATAACTGTTAACTATAATTATTGATTTTATAGAAATTAGTAAATTACACCAATTGGTAATATATTTTTATGAATAAATAATTGTTAATAAAAATTTAATGAAAAATTATTAAATTATAATGATTAATGTAAATTATGCTAAACATTAAAAATTTGAACATTTATTAATTAACCAAATTTTAGTTTTCACTAGTGGTTGGTCAGTTTTGAGTGGCCAACTCCTTAACCCGACCAGATCAGTTTGGCTAGCAAAACAATCAATCTCCAACCAAACTGAATTGCCTAGTGAACACTCTTAATTTCAGTTAAATTAATAGTCTAACCTCTAACAAATAATAATAGTTTAATTTCYAATAATTATTGAAAATTTATAGCAAAAATACACAAAAATACATAATTGCTGAAAAATATATTTATAATGAAAATACAATAAATAACTAATGAAAAGCTTTAATACCTCTAAGTTAATTAATCTACTTCCACTATTTCAATAATATTTATTTTTTATTTATTTATATTTTATATTCTTAATATAGATTTAGTCATGTTAAATATTTTGTTATTTAAATAATTAAATAATATGTAAAATATTTACAATTTTTCATTATTTGATTATTATTTAATTTAATGTTTTACATAATATTAAATATTTTGTAATATAATTATTTAGCTATTTTTAATGTTTTTGTTATTTAAGATATTTAGTTATTGGAATGTTTAAATAATGTTTTATTTTTTATGTTAAATTTTATTTTTATTTTTTGAATATCATTTAAATTGAATAATTCATAAAATTATAATTTATATTGTTACTACATAATTTCATGATGAATTTTGTAAAAATATAATAATATGAATATTATTAAATCTATTATAATTAATTTTTGTGTTTTGAATAAAAACTTTAAAGGTAGTATTTAATTTTGTTATAATATTTAAAATAATTTTGAAAATTTTAATTGACACTTTCTTTAGATAGATGTAGATAAAAAGTGGGGGAGAGGATAAATAGGAATTAAAGATAGTTTAGGAGATAACCTCTTTAATAGATTAGAGGTAATTTAAGATATAAATAGGAGTTAGAGATAATTTAGGAGATAGATAGGAATTGGAGACAATTTAAGAGAAAGTGGAGGAAAGTGGTGCCACTTAGCTAAACATTGGAAAAGCAAATCTCTCTTTCTTTTTGCTTGTTAGAAAGAGTTAAGTATGTGTTATTTCCTTATTGGTTTAATGTATAATTATGTGGAATCAAAAAATAAAAAAAATACAAAAAATAGGAAATTAGGAAGGGGGTTTGGAGAAAGGAGAGGCATGATGATGTGGACTGTCTTGCTATATATATATATATATTATGTTATATTATGCTATATAATATTACATAATATAAAATAGTTGTAGTTAAGTTTCAAAAAAATAAATTTGCAAGTATGCAAGTAGGAATGACGGGGGCAGGATGGGGCAAATTTGGGGATCTCCATTACCCACAGGGACGGGAATGGGGTTAGAATTTCTAGCCTTGGTGGGGTTCGTGGCAGGGCATTTGAGTTTGGGGTTGGGGACGAGGCAAGTAGAAATGACCGGTGGCGAGGTGGGTTTGGTGCGGGGCACCCACTCCTTGACGGAGACGAGGAATCCCTAAATTTTCCTTGCCCAGTCATCTAAAAATAATTTAATTTGTTGATATTTTACAAATATGGTTATGAAAATTCAGGGGTATTTTAGGAATTGGATTATGACAATTTGGGGATACTTTAGAAATGAAATTGTGGGATCTTRGGATTTAAAGAATTTAGGAAAACTTAGAGATATTTTAAAAATCAATATTAAATATAGAGATATTTTACTAATTTTCCATCGGATTTAGACAATTATATGCCAACCCTGTCCCAATTTGGGGCAAAAAAAATACTTTTCCATCCTCGCCTTGCCCCATTGCCATTCCTAATATTATATATACATATTATTTTAACTTTTCTACTCATTCATGTGCCGCTGTGCATGCATGGGCTGGGCGTTCTAGCTACGATGCATATTAAAGCAAAACCTTGGGGTATTATTTTCCTACAAGTTCAAGCGCATGGCTAGCGTCTCATTAAAACAATGTATAAGTAAATTTTAATTAAAAAGGAAAATGATATCGGATAGGCTCCCACAGCGCACCCCACAACCCATCTCCTCATACAGTGGGAACATTTCAAATTGGAGTTCAGTTTCTGTCAGGGCAATGCCCCTTTTAGCGAGTCTTTACAGTCTTGTATTGAAAATATCTCCTACTTATGTACTCATGTACTTTATTTTATGGGGAGATATCCAGATGTAAGGTTGCAAGAGATTGTTTGGCTAGTGTGAACACGCTGACTGAAGCCCATCTCCTCCCATTGGTCCTAATTGACAGAGGGGATGGACTGTGGGGCGCACCCAGTGGGGAGCACATTCCGTCTCAAGAAAATATACAGAGTGGTGTGGACCCCACTCTAGCTCTCAAATCATATTGTTTCCTAATTCAATTTAGTCGGAAAGTTGGGCCATAATAATAAATCAAATCCTATTTTAGTTTTCTAACCCAAATAAAAGGTCAGCATGCATAAAGGCTTTTTAAGTCGTTATATATAAGTCCCACTCTTGTAGATGAAATAAGTTATTTAATTAATTAGAAATCAAACCTAATCTAATATTTCTAAATTAAAAAGATCACAAAGAATTCCTTCACATGCCTTCAAACTTAGATCACCTTGAGGCTTGAGCTATGCATAAATGCTGCACCTTGATTACTATAAAATTCAAAAATTGCATGCACTCACTCTCGTACGACATACATCAAACAGAATTAAATTGTATATATGTCAAGCTATACAAATCAACAGAGAAAAGGGAGGAAAAATAAGAAACCTCATAAAGCCCCACAACCTTCACACATCAACATTTATAACAAATAATCAGATGAAAAATACAATAGTTATAAGTAGTAACATGAATACAGATAAAGATCAAACATTAATTTCTATATAGAACAAAACCACAAGTAAATCCACCAACAAGGAAAGGAAGGAGAGAAGAAACATCATCAACTTAATTCATTACTAGTCTATATATACCCATCCACTACAAGGAAATTAAATGGTTAATTAATTAATTAATTTATGGGAATGGCAGCCCTTGAGGCCGAGGACCCTTGCAACATCCTTTACAGAGAAGGCCAATTATAGTAAAGTTGCAGCAATGGTGTTGGAAGTTTTCACACTGAGAGGGTGTCACAAGAGGTGGTTCATTTGGGGCACTAACATCACATTCACAAGAGCTTTGTGGGTTTCCTGAATCATTGCGGCAATATGTGAAGCATTGTCCATCCACGTACTCCTCAGCTTGAGTAATAGTCCAATTTACAGTTTTATAAATCTTTTCTCCTATATTGTAAACCCTAAAAATCCTGAATATGATTGCAATTGGAAATAGCTCCCTTCCTTCAGTCCTAGCAAGTCACAGAGTGGGAAAAAAGAAATTACTTTATAGTATTCAATGGAAATATAGAAATCAGAATCAATGAAGTCATTTTAGTTTGTGTTTGGTACTATTGTTGTTTTTATTTGAGATGTTTTGGGACAAAGTATAATCATTCTAGTTGAAGTAGTGACTCATATGTGATCGATGTAACAATATATATTTTTTACTAGTTTGTATTGATCAATTCAAAACGTTTCTTAATATCAAAAACAACCTTAATTAAGCAAGTTTGAACTAATTAACTTTTTTAAAGTTTATTTCTTTTTCATCCAATACTACTTTATCTACTCCAATTTCCAAACTTGAACCACCATCAAAAGAGTTCATTGTAAATCAAAAGATAAAAAGAAAAGTAGACGAAGTAGAAGAAGATAAAAAAAAAAAAAAAACTTTCCTACTTTTCTTTCTCTCTCTGTTTCTCTCTCTCTTCATTTTTTTTTTCATTCTAATTGAGTTCAGTCTCACTCCTTCCAGGGGCTTACACCTATAATCACGCTCATCCATCATGGAAGGATTGAAAATGAACTCATTATAATCAAATCTAATTAGGTAGGTTTGGCTTTTTTCCCTCCATTTTAAGCAAACCCCAGTAAAAGAAATTACTCAAATATAATTACTTCTTTCAGTATTGATCCATAGACCACATATGACTTACTTGTTTGCCATTCCTTCGTACTCAGAAGCAGCCACCTCCAAAGGGAAGAGCAAAACAAAGGTTGCAAATACAACTGCAACAAATACTAACACAACCTTTGAAGCCATTTAGTACGAGTGATCAAATGGTTCAAAGACGACAGATATAGATAGGAAAGATAGTGAGCATAAGGATGATCCCTTGGGGTTCTAATTCCAAGAATGAACTAGCTTTGTCATTCTTATATAGAGTAAAGCCACTGACACGGTCTCTTCTCTCATGAAGTTTCTGGGAAAATATTCAAGAAGATGGCTTGTGTCATTTCTTAGAGCAGCAGCATCGGGGTGACAGCATTCTCACGCCCACTGTTTCCTAACATCACTAATGAATATTTTTATACCGTAATTGTCAAAACCGCCCTCACCAATCACAAATGAATTTCAAAGATTGACCTGGCAATTGTCTCGGGTCGGGTTAGAGTCGGGTCAATGCATATTTTGGATTGGATCGGCAAAGGCTAGATTCTAACCCTTTATATTCAGGTTAGGTTTGACCCACGGTCAGATGGGTCAATGGTTTTTCTGCCTGGATCAGTTGCTCTTTGATTAAGTCAATAGTTTTTTATCAAAAATAAGTGTAACCTTCTGGTTCAAATAGTTTAAACAGTTCAGCCATCTAGGTCAATATCAATTTGAAGACGTGTTGGATTGAAAACAGGTAACCTGGTGGTGACCCGTGGACCTGACCCAGCCCGAAGGCTATCTTTTACTCCAGGTCATTATATAGGGGACCCTAACCCCCTTTTTTTTGTTGGATCAGATTGGGTATGCGGGTTGGGTCAATTTTTTGCTAGGTATAATCACTGCAGATTATATACTGCATGGGCCTTGGCCAAGTCACCCATAAGAAACCAGGGAGAGCCGGGACTTCATATTCAAGCCCTTAGGCTGTGTTTGGTTTGAAGGAGAAAATAGGAAAAGAAAGGAAAAGGTAAGAAAACTTATACAAACTTTGTAAAGGTTTTTCTGCCTTTCCTTTCCTTTCCTTTCCTCACCTCTTCCTTCAAACCAAACATAACCTTAGAAGATCTAATTGTCCATTCCCGTACTTCAAATTCCAACTAGTGGGCCAGGTTTGATCTTAGCTACTTGCTCAAGATTAACTAGGGTTGTCAATGGTCAGGACTCAAGTTCAAGCCAAAAAACCCAAACTAACAATAATTTATTACAAAGTGTTCGAACCTTCATTTTGAGTTTCAGTATTATCACAGGGCCAAGATTGGCTTCACCTGTTCCGACCCGATTTTTTTGGTAATAGTTCCGACCCGATTAAAACCTATAAGGGTAATGCACACGGGTTGAAATAGTGAGAAATGATTCAAGGTTATATAGCTTAGAATTTTATTTTGCTTCATCTCCATATTTTAACAATGTATATGGTATTTGAACAATATGAAATGGTGGAATAGGATTCATTTATGTAGCTGATTCTATAGGGTAAGTCTGACGATGATATTAAATCTATAATATTTATGGCAACCCCCCCTATAGTTTTATAGTTTTTTAGTAAAAGTAAACCCCCCCCCCCTATAGTTTAATGTCATTGAGAGATAAGTAAGTCTTATCTTCAAAATATATAAAAAGATCTTATTGGTTGGAGATGTGGGACCCATATGCAGATATAGAGATGATGTGGTATTATATCATGACTGACCCAATATTACAAGAAGAACCATTGAGAGGTGTTTCCAATACATGACCGGAATGTATTGTAGGATGTTATAGGGGGCAATCTTGTGGGGGGCTAATTTGGTCTCGAAGAACTATATGTAATAAATTTAAACTCTGCAACAGATCAACCCATCGACACCCCTAAAGTAGATTCATATATTTTTTTATTCAAAAATGGATATGGTATTTGACCAAAATAAAATGGTGGAATAGGATTCGTATTCGATGCGATCTTATGTTGATGTTGATGTTGATGATGATGACTATGAATAGGTTCCATTCCATATAACTCTACTTTTTATTTCTCTATTTCAGATTCCAATTTAGTAGCTGTAATTGCAAATTAGTAATTATTGTTTTTGAATTAATTGTTTATTAATTAAATAATATCATATTTGAATATCAGTAATTGATTAACAATAATATTGTATATTTTTAATAACAATAACATTGTTATTGTATAGTTAATGAATAATTACTTATAATATCAATTTATTTTAATAAATTTAAAATAATAATTAAAAATTATTGAATAATTACTGATATTTTTGGTAATATCAATTTATTTTAATAAATTTAATTTAATAATATCAATTTATTTTAATATTTTCAGTAATTAGTTATTGATTTTTTTCAATATATCAATTTACAAACAATTAGTGAAAAAATTACTTTTACAAACATTTTTTTTGATATTTTCAAATATTTATTGAAAAATTTCAGTAATTTTTAGAGGAAATTTAGTTTCAGTGAAAATCAATTTATTTTTTGCATAATTCCAATTAAAGGTTAATAATGTTGCCCATTAGCTCACCCAACTTGGGAAATGGTTATTTTTCTTGACAGGGCCCATATATTGTCTGGGTCCCATGTGTGCCCAGTTTGGGTAGAAAATTGGGTACTCGATCAAATGGGTTGGGCAATTTAATTAAGAAAAAGGATTTAAACATAAAAATTTATCGCATTTTTACTTCATTATTAACTAACAGTGCGTTTTCATTAACAATGAAGTAAAATTCTATTAATTACCCATAAATGTCATTAACAATAAATTTCACTAGAAATACATAATTTCATTAAATTAATCATAATTTATGATAACTAATGATAATTTCTGGATTTAATGAAATTTTTGTTTGATCTTATTGTTAGGTTTTGGATTTTCCCATGGATCGCATGGGCCTCCGCTAGTGTGTGTATATATATATATATATCGCAAGACGGTCCACATCAACATGCCTCTCCTTGCTCCAAACCCCCTTCCTAATTTCCTTCTTTTTGAATTTTTTATATTTTTAATTTCACATAATTACCAATTAAACTAGTAAGGAAATAACATAGGCTTAACTATTTCTAACAACGATAAAGAAAGACGGATTTGCTTTTCTATTGTTTAGCCAAGTGGCACCACTTTCTCCTAAATTGTCTTTAATTCCTATTTATCTCATAAATTATCTCTAACTGCAATTTATCTCTTAAATTATCTCTATTTTAGTAGAGAGATTCCCTTGTAAACTATGTCTAATTCCTATTTATCCTCTCCCTCACCTTTTATCTACATCAATCTAAAGAAAGTTTCAATTAAAAAATTTCAGTATATTTAAATATTATAACAAAATTATATACTAACTTTAAAATATTTATTCAAAACACAAAAATTAATTATAATAGATTTAATAATATTTATATTACTAATAATTCTATATTTTTCATCATGAAATTATGTAGTAACAATATAAATTATAATTTTATGAATTATTCAATTTAAATGTTATACAAATAATAAAAAAATAACATTAAAAAATAAAAAATTATTTAAATACTTTAATAACTAAAATATCTTAAATAACAAAACCTTAAGAATATCTAAATAATTATATAAGAAAATATTTAAGATTACATAATAACATTAAAATAAATAAAATTCAAATAATGAAAAATTTAAAATATTTTATATATTATTTAAATATTTAAATAATGAAATATTTAACATGACTAAATTTTAAATAGTTAAAATAATGAAATTATATAATAAATTTAAAACAGATTCCTAGAACTAAAAAATAATTATAATAGATTTCATAATGGTATTAATTTAATATTTTTCAAATTATATAATACTAATTTCTTGTTTTTTGAATTTTTTATATTTTTAATTCCACATAATTACCCATTAAACTAGTAGTAAAGAAATAACATAGGCTTAACTATTTGTAATAATCATAAAGAAAGAAGGATTTTCTTTTCAAATGTTTGGCCAAGTGACACCACTTTCCCCCACTTTCTCCCAAATTGTCTCTAATTCCTATTTATCTCCTAAATTATTTCTAACTCTTATTTCTCTTAAATTATCACTAATTTAGTAGAGAGATTCTCTCCTAAACTATCTCTAATTCCTATTTATCCTCTCTCCCACTTTTTATCTACATTTATCTAAAGAAAGTTTCAATTAAAAAATTTCAGAATTATTTAAATATTATATAAAATTATATACTAACTTTTAAAATATTTATTCAAAACATAAGATCTGATTATAATAGTTTTAATAATATTCATATTATTAATAATTCTATATTTTTACCAAATTCATCATGAAAGTATGTAGTAACAATATAAATTATGGCTAAGGGTCCTACTTAAAGGAAAACCTCCAAGAGATATATAGGGATTCTACTTCAAAAGAGTGGAAACAAATCATATGGAAACCTCCAAATTCGGGTAGCATCACAATAAATTTTGATGCCTCATGTAACACAAACAAAATGTGCTTGGTTGCTTCCATTGCTAGAGATTATACTAGGAGAGTGTTGGACTACAAAGACTACAAATTAGGAAATTCTTCCATTAATCTAGTGGAAGTGTGGGCCGCTTGGGAAGCCCACAATTTGGCTTTGAATTTCACAGAGCCCTTGGTCATCATCGATGGAGATTCAAAGCTGGTTATTTCTTGTCTAAAAGACAAGATGGAGACCCCCGTGGAGACTTAAAAGGATCATTTACAACCGTCTCCAAATGAAGGATCACCTGCAAGGAGGAGTTTCTTACCATCACACCTTTTGCAAATCAAATGAAGCAGCGGACTGGTTAGCGCACGAGGCTCTCTCATTGGATTCAGAGTTCTTGAGTTTCTCTTTATCTTCCTTGCCTTTTTTTTTATTTCTTTTATCTATTTTCTGATTTGTGGGGTCGGCCTACCCCCCTCCCCCCATCTTGTGTAGCCCCTCTTGGCTTTATCAAAAAAAAAAAAAGATAATGACCTTGCAATTGGCCCAATGAGTGCAGCTTTTGGGCCTATAAATCATGAAATCCCTGCCCATCTTGTAACTTCTCATGGGATAACCATTCCCAACAAATCAAATAGACTTCTCTATAATCTCTCGGCAAAACCTTGGTGCATCGCAACAGAAAATATGAATTAGTGACAAGATGATATGTTATAGTTGTTATTTTTAACATTGTCAAAGTGTT